CTTGTAATAGTTGCTGTAACCTGTATTTTGAAGTTTCACATCCGCGAGGCTGACATGAATAAAAGTCATTATTATGTAATATCGTAAGACTAAATTTTGGTTTAACAGATGGATCAGGCGTCTCAATGCGTAGACCCGGTGAAATTATGGACGGAAGCTAAACTTATGCAACTCTGAATCCAAGTTCTATACGGCATTAAATAATTTTCTAGTTACATATTCAGCAATTGTTCTCCAATACCCCGACATGTATGACGTGAGATCGAAGCCGCTTTTTTCAAGTAATTGGTACCTCAGACCAGACTATCATATTAAGACGTTTTTTGGATCGTTTTCTGCGTTTTTCACGCCACATAAACATCTATTAGAACGCTAGTGAACATCAAAGAGGAGTGCGCCGGTCGATTCTTTGATTCTAATGTCTTTTAAACGTACCATAACATGAACCATTTCAGCGTTTAAGCTCCAAGCGCAAACCTGTAATAGCTTTGTTCAAATAAATGACATACGTTCGACAATACGGCCGTAAAAGAAGAAGTTATGCAAATACTTATAGGTTTTATTGTTAAGTTCTTTACTCTTTTTTGCGCAGTTGTGGTGAAGTATCTTAAATGTGGACTATTTTAAATTTTCCTCCCCACGCTCAATACATCGCACACAGGGAAACCAAATTTGTCTGACAGTTGAGTTGAATACGTACGAGAGAGAGAGAGAGAGAAGCGCGAGAAGTGTGTATCAACACATGTTAGAAAGGGATAGAAGCCGGCTGAAGAGCTTCATCAGCGTCATCACCACATTGCCTAGCGACGGTGACGGAGAAGGTCGTGCAATCTGCCGCGTTGTCGATATCTCACACCAGAAAACGCTCACACACACCTCTACAATAAGTTCAACCCAAGGAGGAGGTCTTTTCGAATATTTAACTTAATATTTTGTTCTCATTTTGATTATTGAATTATCTTTGATTTCCACCGATGAGTTATTGTTATATTTTGCGACAGCGAGCGGTCGGAAAATGCAACAAATACCATTACGCAATACAATCATCACTGCCTGCGTATACGCAGGTGAAAACCATTTCAAAGCAGGACAACATTCCCCAGTGAGCGCTGCATGGGTACTGACAAAAATCGCTCATCTATGATCTATGTTAAGAAAATACGGTGTAGCTGTTTAACACAATATGATCTGCACATTTAAATACACGCAAATCGACTGCTGAGAGTGATGAACTGTGGTAAAAGAAAGGAACTTTTATATAATGTGAGTCGAAAAGTGATTTTCAATCAAAACAGCGGTGGAAACCAAGAACGGTGTATATTAAACATATTCAGAGATATCTGGAGTTTTCCAAGGTACTATAAACGAGGAAAATTCTAAAAATACGCGAATAACTAAAATACCCTTAATTTTAGGTTCAACATACACTAAACAAATTTGTGCTAAAATGAAGCGTATAATCTAAATAT